CCCGGGCTGAACAATGGCGAGCTGGAATGCATTATTTTCCTAGGTGAAAATACCTCTCGGTTTATCCTAAATGTTCATACGTTCTTTTATCTTTTTTCTTCTCGGTATAAATCAACGCACACGGAAAAATCGAAATATAAGCGACTGGCAGGCGAAATTATTCTTTAAAAATCCTAATCACATGACAGGAATATATAGAAAAATAAACGCCGCACACACACACACACACACACACACACACACACACACACACACACACTCACACACACACACACAACACACGCACGCAGCACACACAAGACCAAGCAACATGATACAAGCGGAGAAAACGATAAGGTCGCTTCGGGATGACGCTAAGGTATTCCCTCTCGGTGAACCTAATTTGGTTATGTTGAGAATAATTTCAAAATACGATCTACTCTTGTGGCCTTTTGTGTTTGCCGGTGAATTGCGTAACGCAGTTCGAATTTAGAACGACACTTAACGTTTCTTCATCTTCAAGTATGAATATAAACGAGTATATAAATAGAATTGTACGAGTATTGTTCATATATGCTGGATTGTGTTTATTCTATTGTGATTATAAATGTTAGGAATAAAATGCTTCCTGGGTATAATTGATTATTCCATTGCCGACACGTGATTTCGTTATAAGCACAGGGCTATATTCAGTCAGTGTGTAATATAAGAGATATATCAATACTTTTATTTGACATTTGACTGACATATATCTCAGCCACTTACATATAGCATCAATTTAAAAGCGCATGGAATCTCTCTATAGAGAGCCTCCTAAAAAGACGTGCGCAGTCACAAATTCACCACAACACACACACACACACACACACACACACACACACACACACACACACACACACACACACACACAACACGCCACTATCACTCCACATGTTACACAGCACTCCCATCGCCTCCACAGCCTGTCTCCACGTTTCGACTCCCCGCCAGCGCTAATGTATTCCCATAGGCCTACCAATGCCATCAACACATCAGCCGGTCCTGACGTGCGGGTCGAAACACACTCTCGGTCGGGCCGGTAATACGTCACGAGAACGCCAGGCTGTCATGAGAGCCCTAACAAACTTTCTCGTACCCGTCACACACCTACGTCGCCAAGGTGAATCCCCAAGATGGTATGATGTGGGTATGACGGTGGGGTGGTGATGTGGTATGGGAATGAAGAGGGGGGGGAGGGGATGTGATGTGTGGCTGGGTGGGAGCGGATGGGAGAGGATAGATAAAGGCAGGAGGGGGGGGGGGTGATGTGATAGAGAGATGGTTGTGGGGAGTTGGATGGGGGTAGGGGTGTGATGTAGTGATGAGGGGAGGGGGAGAGGTGTGTTGTGGTATGAACTGGGGAGTAGGAAGAAAAAGGTGTAGCATGATGTGGTAAGGGGTTGGGGGAAAGGGGAAAAAGTGTGAGTGTGATGTGTTATGTGACTATGCAGAGGAAGGGAAAAAGGCGGAGGTGTGACGTGGTATGTGGCTGGGCGAGGGAGGCGTTGTAAGGGCATGGTAGCGGTAGAGAGCTGATTATGGAAGAATACGACTGACGGTGCTTCAAGGCTGATGTCAGATCGATATGACAACAAATCTGAAGTGAAATGGTAAGAAAGATGTGTATGTATTTCGAAAATTCAGCAATGGTGGAGACGAATTTTAGTATTGTCAGATGTATATCTATTTCATGCAAAATAGGACATGATATAAATACCAGAACAGACATTTAGGACACAGTTTAACGTCCTTGTTTGTGCATATAGCAAGGTGTTTTTTTGTGTAATGTCTCGATATGTAAGTCTCCAGTGATGAAACTTCAGAAGAATAGAAAATAGAATATGTATTGCGGAGACTTATATATCAATAACAGAATATAACTAGCATAATAACCAGTATCACATTAATTAGGACACACCAAAAGAGTTTAATCTTGCGGGTGCCAATAAGCTTGGGAAGAGACACGAAAAAAGAAGGAATGCACACGAGAGGAAAATCGTCATCATGCGTTGGCGGAATGGGAGAGAGAGCGACGAAGAGGAGAAGGAAATGCACACGAAAATCGTCATGTGCGTTGGCGGGGAATGACAAGGCGAATACGAACATCAAAAAATTCCAAAAGAAAATGGCGACATAAAAAGAAAAGAAAATTTGACAAAAAGCAAATAAAACATACAAGTAAATAATATCTGACAGTGGCAAACACGAACATAAAAGAAAATGAAGTTTGACAAATAAAAGAAATCATGAAAATCAAAAAAGAAAATGACAGACATGATATGCATCTGTGCATATGTCACTTTGTGAGATTTGATTCCGAGACGTAAGTGGCGGAAGCAAAGGGGGAACTGGGCAACGAAATCTCGTTATTGATTTATTTACCATGGGTGGGTGAGTCTGAAATAAAATCGGAAACGTTAGAGTCAGATAATTGGCAGTCAAAGCCTGGATAGCTCCAGTAGCTTCCAGTACTTACTGACAT